AAGCTAATTACCCTGATTTATCATTCCACAACGTATACATGTATAGAAACATCACAATGTACCCCAAAAATATACACAATTATTTGTCAATTAAAAATAAAATAAAACTTTAAAGCCAAGCTCCTCATATCCTATAGCTCTCACCTCCTACAGACACTGGACAGAATCCTTTTAAATGCCAGGACCCCTTCCTTCTTGGTGGAGTCAAGGAATGCCCACTGCCTCTTCCCTGCCCTCTAGTCCCAGCCTTCTCTCTCACCCCAAAGATCATCTGAAATAACATACTTAAGATCGCTCCCCACTAAAAAGAAAAAAACACACACGCAAAAAGAAAACAAACAAAAAAGACTTTTCCCCTTAAATTTGATCTCCAGGTCAATTGCCGTGGCTCACAACTGCAATCCTATCACTTTGGGAGGCAGAGACAGGAGGATCACTTGAGGCCAGGAGTTCCCAGACCAGCCGGAGCAACATAGAGAGACCTCCGTCTCCCAAAGCGCTGGGATTACAGGCCTGAGCCACCGGGCTGGCGCACTCTTTTCTTTCAATCACAGCCAAATATAATAGAGAAGGAAATCCTGTTGCTTCTACTTTAAAATCTACCCAGAATCTGATCACTTCTTCCCACTCTCCTGCTACTACTCTTCGTACATCCACTATCAAAGTATTCCTGGAGCCCAGTGCAGTAGCCTCCTTACCGGTCTCCCTGCATCAATCCTCATCATCCCCATCCCAAGCTAATGTTCTCCCCTGAGCAAATTTTGGGACACTTAAAATCCCAACTAAGATTATGTCATTCTATTCAAAACCCCCAGGGCTCTCAGCGTCCTCAGAATAAAGGCACAACTCCTCAGCCTGCCATTCCGGGCATAACTCCTCAAACTATGTTCCGTGCTGAGGGAAGAAGGACCCCCGCATCTCTGGAACGCTTACAGTTCGGTCGCACCTCGAAACCTTACCCATACAGTCCCCTTTGCCTGTAATTCTCTCCCACCCGAATCACACTGGCTGTCAGAAATAGGAAGCCCACCCATGAGTGCGTCACTGCCCCGAACACAGAGGCTGCAGAGATGTGACCCCTTATTCCGGGATTTACCATTCGGAGTTGGGGACAAGGGTGGCTGACGGCCAGGGGGACGCAGCACCCACCTGCGCCGGGTCCAGCTGCTCCGCCGCAGCCACTGGACTCTGTGGAGGAAGAGAGGCCGGGAGCGGTGGGTGTCTAGGCCGGGGACGCAGGCACTTCCGCTTCCGCTGAGCCTCCCACACGCCTTTGTGCAGTGGAGACAACATCCCCTCCGCGCTTCCTCGATACCCTCATCTGGGGCCGACCCAGTGTCCCTGAATCCCTGCTAGACAGACAACTCACAAGCCCAAACAAGATGTCTGCCCAAGGAGGATCCGGAAGTCCCACCCAGGCATCATCTGCACGCGGAAACGCCTCTCTTCCGGGCCCTCACTGGAGGTACAGCGCATAGGCTTCTGGGTAGTGTAGTTCCCACTGAGCCATCCGCCAAGGAGAGGGGTTCATGGCCTGGGCGCTTGGGAAAAGACTAAGTGCCAAGGCCAGGGTCTTTGGCAAATAGTAACCCAACTTTCAGAGGACCGGTGGACTTCACTCCTCCTAAAAGGCCTGCATCTGGAGTGTAGTCTGCACCGACTGCAGAAATATTGAAACATTTCAGATATTCCCCAAAGCCAAGACCAAATGGACACACCACACTACAATGTCTCTGTCCCCTCGTATACCTGGGAGCTTTTCGTTTTTTGGTTTTTGAGGGTTTTTTTTAGAGACAGGGTCTTGTTTTATCACCCAGGCGGGAGTGCAGTGGTGCCATCATAACTCACAACAGACTTGAACTGCTGGACTCAAGCTATCCTCCTGCCTCAACCTCCAAAGTAGCTAGGACTACAGGCCCTGGCCGCCATGCCTGAATAATTTTTCTTATTTTTTGTAGAGATGCAGTCTTGCTATGTTGCCCAGGCTGGTCTTGAACTCCTGGCCTCAAGAGATCCTCCTGCCTTAAGCCTCCCAAAGTGCTGGAATTACAGGCATGAGCCACCTCGACCAGCCAGTTGCTTTTTAAATAATGTGCACTGAAGCTTTAGAATCAATTCCGTGAGCTTCAGTTTGGTTTCAGGGACAGATAAGAAGAGATTCCAGACAGAGCCTTGGAGTAGAAGACGGGAAAGAGATGTTGAGTCACCCTAAAACCAGCAGACAGATTTCCTCAGAATACTTTTTCCCTGCCTTCATAATCAGTGGGTGTATCCACCCAGCAAGTGACTCTGTTTTTTCCAGATAAAATTTCTTACTCCATATCTTTAGATAAATAGAATTACTTTTAGGAATCTGAAACCTGGCTGGGCGCGGTGGCTCATGCTAATCCTAGGACTCTGGGAGGCCAAGGCAGGTGGATCGTTTGAGCTCAGGAGTTCGAGACCAGCCTGAGCAAGAGTGAGACCCTGTCTCTACTAAAAATAGAAAGAAATTAATTGGACAGCTAAAAATATATAGAAAAAATTAGCCGGGCATCGTGGTGCCTGCCTGTAGTGCCAGCTACTTGGGAGGCTGAGGCAGAAGGATCACTGGAGCCCAGGAGTTTGAGGTTGCTGTGAGCTAGGCTGACGCCATGACACTCACTCTAGCCCAGGCAACAAAGGGAGACTCTGTCTCAGAAAAAAAAAAAAAAAAGAATCTGAAACCTTTCATAAAAGGAATGCAGGCTATTTGAATGACATTTCCTGCCTAGACAGTGTCTGTCATTGTCACAGTCAGATAATGTGTCCAAAATGGGTCATATGAACTTTGAGATAAATGTTTAGGACACCATTAAGTTATCTCCTTGCTGTGAAGTGATTACTATTTAACCTGAAGTGGTTACTATTTAACTATTGTAGGTACCCTGTCTGCATTGGGAGTTGAGATTATCCCTGAAAAAAATCCTGAAAGCTGTTAATAGCAATTCTGTAGTTATCTGAAGATAGTGGAGGAAATAGCTCCAGTGAAATATTTGTAACAGATGTAAAAAGTTAAGATCTTTTACCTTTTTGTGATGTTTGAGCCTGAGTACTGAAATATGAGAAGTGAAAGAATGAAGCAATGAAGTGAAAGAATGGTTGTATGGAAATTTTGACCACATTTTGTCTACAAAATGTGATTATATTTTTTTCCTGAAAATGCTGAGCAATTGGAGGGACAAGTGAAGATATCAGATATCAGAATGATAAAAATCAGTAGCAAAGAGTGAATAATTCACTGTTGTAACATATATGTTCAATGACTACCTACCAGTAGTTGCATGAGAGACATTAATAGAGTTTCCAGGAGTCCTATTTATACAGTACATGTCCTGCATTTAACAATTTTTGTCCTGTATCCTGTTTTAACTTTGTAAGGATACTGTAAATATTCTGTACTTAACATTTTCCAATATACTACTAAAATTTAGCAGTTAGAGCTATTTTTTCATCACAGTAATTGGCACTTAACTCATTTAAATGGCAACAGTAAATGAGAATCATATCTCACAAACAAAGATCTAAACAAACCCTATGGTCTCTCCTGCAGGTTTGGCTAAGGGAAGACTAATATGCAGTGCTTAAAACTTAAAATGCTTATTCTTTCAAATTCAAGAAAGGAAAAGACTGTTCTTTTGACAGAGTCCTAAACAACTAATCCCAATTAATTTGCGATAACTACAGATCAGTACACATCAGCCCATCAGTAACAGACTTACTCCAGTACTACACTTCTGAAAGGTAGCAAATCAATAACACTACCAAGTTTCTGAAAAATCAACCAATTGGTAATGAAACTCAGTCCAGAAAGCCAATCTTTGGAGTTGAGTATGATGAAAAGAAAGAAAAGAAAAGAAAAGGAAAGAAAAAAGGAAATGAAAAAAAGAATTGAAGTGGAATATGATAAAAAAAAAAAACAGAAAGCCAATCAGAGACAGTTTCTCGTAGCCAACAGCCAATCAACAAGTGCCTCACGAAAGTGGCCCTGTTACTGAAAGGAAAGTTGTGAACAGTAGCCTCACTCTGGTGACCATACTGGCAGAGCCAAAAGTCTTCCCAACCTTAAACATTCCCACTTCTGAAAGTACACCAAGTCCTGAATACCAAATTTCCTAAAACCCTACATAAGACAAGCTCTAGCTTTGTTCATGGAGACCGTGCCTTACAAACACGGCTCTTCATTGCAGGCAAACAGGAGATTCACCTTTTCTTTGCATAAAATATTTCCTATTGATGCTGTAATAAACTTAGTGGCTTAAAACAATAGGAATGTGTTCTCTTAAAATTATGGAGGCCAAGAGTCTGAAATGAGTCTTAAGAGGCTTAAATCAAGGTAAGAGGTGGACTGGTTCCTTCTCTAGTCTCCAGGGGAGAATCCTTTCCTTGCCTTTTCCAGCTTCTGGTAGCTGCATCAGCCTGCATCTATCATCACTGTGCCTTCTCCTCTTCCGTAGTCAAATATCCCTCTGCCTCCATCTTATGAAGACACTTGTGATTATATTTAGGGCCCACCAGATAATCCTTAATAATCACCCCATTTCAAACCTCTTAATTTAACCACATCTGCAAAATCCTTTTTGCCATATAAAATAATATTTACAAATCCCAGGGATTAAGAATTGGTATCCGGATATCTTATTCAACCCACCATAGATATCAAGTTTAATTTACTATTAGATCACAATTGTGTAACCCTTTTAAAGAGTCAGTTCAGCTGTACTGTTAGCTGTGCGTTTGCACTAGTTAATGATAGAGGCTGTGACAGATGCTGACTAAGAAGTGAGATTATAAAATGTAATTTTTTTTTTTTTTTTTTGAGACAGGGTCTTGCTCAGGCTAGACTACAGTGGCATCATCATAGCTCACTACAAACTCTAACCCCTGGGTTCAAGTGATCCTCTTGCCTCAGCCTCCAAAGTTGAGGACTCCTTATGGAACTCCCATAAGTTGAAACTACAGGTGCACACCACTATACCTGACTAATTTTTGCATTTTTTTGTAGAGCTGAGGTATTACTATGTTGCTTAGGCTGGTCTTGAACCCCTGGCCTCAAATGATCCTCCTGCCTCTGCCCCACAAAGTGCTGGGACTACAGGCATGAGCCATCACGCTTGGGCAAATCTTTTCAATTCTTGTGTTGATTGCTATTATCTATTTTTGTGACAATGATGTCACAAGTAAAAAAAAAAGATATTGGATGAGTACACTATGAAAAATTTTTTAATGTGCGCACATGGAAAAAATCTGGACAATATGAATCAAAAAAGGAGAAAAAATATTCTAGAGATAACACATTTAGAAGTAAAAATTTCACATAAAGACACATTATTGAAAAGAAACAACTTGAAGAACAAGGAAAAAGTAAGTCAAAAAACCTATCAGTAATACAGGAAAATGAGTAAGGGTTCACTCAGATGTCTCAGGGTAAATATGAATGCAGTATTAATATCATTACATTCCATGTGTTAAAAGATTAGGAATAAAGCAAAAGCTTTGGCACATTCCTTAAAAGTTTTTCCACTTATAGGCTACTTGAATAGAAATAGTTGAGAAAATAAGTGAATTTTTAAAAAATGAAAGTTAGATTCTAGAGTAAATACAAAAAGTGAGGGTAGCAAAACATCTGTTGTGCTTATTACTGCCCAAATAACAAAGAAACAAAATAAAATATAGATAACAAAAAAAATACATTCTTGACAGCACCAGTTATTAACTTGATGTGATTCGTGGCATTGCAAGAAAACACCAATTAGAGAATGTGCTAGAATATTTGTTTTGCCAGTGCAGAGAGTATTTAATATAGCAAGTATTAAAATCCCACAGTGCTTTGAACCTGAGAGGTTGCTTCTAAATATCTTCATTAAACCTAAACAATCACTTTAATGTACAGATTGCAGCAATTCCTCTAAAAGTGATTACTACCATAGGGGAAAAAACTGTGATACTGGCATAGGGGCTATATTAGTTTCCTAGGATAGTGTTACTTAAAAAGCTATACATTTGCCTACCCTATGACCCAATAATAGAACCCGAAGATATTAACACAAAAGAAATGAAACATAAGTATATAAAGAATTGTATTCAGATGTCTGTAGTTTTATTTATAACAGCCAAAAATGAGAAACAATTTCTCAAAATTTATCACATTGTACTGTTTGAATATGTGCAGTTGGTTGAATGTCATTTATACCTTAACAAAGCTTTAAAAATGTGCTTCAAAATAAAAACCTAGACTCGTGGTGACTTTTGCAAAATTATTAACTCTATATTCTGTATCACTTCTCTCGTCATGACCTCACTGAGGCAACTATCCTCAGTGGTAATGAAAATATGATAACCATTGAAGACTAATTCCAGATGATTCAAGAAGGAATGCTGGCTGCTCATACAGGCCACATGCTGATCTAACAGGACTCCCTTATCCTTATCCTCCCCTCTTGTCAATGCAGGAATGGCCTTGAGGTGAACAGCCCAAAAAGGCTACAGAAATCCACAAAACATTTAGATTATTTTCTCTGACACTGACCCCAGCTACATGATATTCAAAATTCAGGAGGTCCTCAGAATTTCTGTATGTAATCCTTTACAGCCATGATGACTGTATCACTATGCATACCCTATTAAAACAGGCACATTCTAACCACTTTGTGCAGTCTCATCCATTGCCTACAAATGCAGTTTCTATAAAAATTATTATTCCCCCTATAACCTTACAACCTGTGAAGCTAGCCTCACCAGTATTGAACAGAGAATATCCCTTGTGAACAAGAGAACAATTTTATGTTACTCTCAGAACCAGAGGTTGTGACAAAAATTGCCCCCTTCTCAGGTTGACCTGTGAGCTCACAAATTATTGTAATATCCACATTAAAATAGGGACCAAAAAGCCCTGAAGTCTTTCTTTGGAGACTTGGGAAGCAGTGTAACTAGCCCAAAACTGCAGCAAAAGCTATATTCTGACACTGCAGTGTCACCTGTGAAGCACACAAAGTTTAGCGATCCTAACAATAGCTACTCACTCCCTGATCGTAGCAAACCTAGTTTTCAAACCACCCCATACACTGAATACAACTCCCAAGATTGAAGGTGTCTCAAACAATAAGGACTTCATTATAACACAAACCAAAGCAATGAAAGGCAGGCTCTCTTGGGTTGTGACTGAGAAGGTAGAAAATTCCATCTCAAGTATCCTGCGAGCTTGTGGCCAGGACTTTGAGACCAGTCCAAGCAACATAATGAGACTCCTTCTCTACAAATAATGTAAAAATCATCATCTTCATCATCATCCCGCAAGATCCACAAGATGCCTGAAAAAGGTTGTCCATCTTTTGAAGAAACCAAAAGAATCCTCTGGGTCAGGTCCATGGCCTAACTCCTCAGAGAGAAAGGAACGAGTAATAAGGCTACTTACAGATCTCTCTGCTGAAGTGAACGGAAGATGACTGAAGTTTACTATTGTCTGGAACCTGATGAGGTGGGTGAAGGACACACTGTCGGCAGCTGCAAAACCTGCCAAGTGGTAGAAGTCAAATGGCTTTTGCCAGAGAACTAGGAGTCACATGATCCTGGCAAGGCACCTGGGCAGGGTGAAAATGCAATGTAGCTCCTACATTCCTGGAATTTATACAGATATTCAAAGCATGACATTCAATTTAGGCAGATGACTCCCTCATGAGGGATCTCCCCCAGTGTTACACTGAACATGAACCACCACGCCCTGTACATCTACATTGCTTCTCTCAGTTGAACATTCTGGTACCCAGGAAGAGAAGGCCGAAGGCTTTGTCATATTCACTGCACTCAAAAGCTACTTCCTCTGTGGGAGGGTTCCTGTGTATAATAGAACTAGAATTTTGGCTAAAGAATTTCCCAAATTTATTTCACTTATGAGGCTTTTCTCCAGTGTGACCTCTCCAATGTCGAAGGAGTGAAGAGCTGTGACGAAATGATTTTCCACATTCACTGCATTCATAAGGCCTTTCTGCAGTGTGAACTCTCATGTGCTTAAGGAGACTGGAGTTTTCAGTAAAGAATTTTCCACATTCACTGCACTCGTAAGGTTTTTCTCCAGTGTGAACTCTCCTGTGTTTAATGAGACTAGAGATATAGGCAAAGAACTTCCCACATTCACTGCATTCATAAGGCTTTGCTCCAGTGTGAACTTTCCTGTGATTAATGAGACTGGAGTTTTCAGCAAAGGTTTTGCCACATTCACTACACTCATAAGGCCTTTCTCCAGTGTGAACTCTCCTGTGTTTAACAAGACTAGAAGTTTGAGCAAAGGATTTCCCACATTCACTACATTGATAAGGCCTTTCTCTAGTGTGAACTGTCCGATGTTGCAAGAGTGAAGAGCTTCGGTGAAATGAACTTCCACATTCACTGCACTCATAAGGCCTGTGTCCAGTATGACATCTCTGATGAACACGGAGTGCAGAGTTTTGGCGAAATAATTTCCCACATTCACTACACTCATAAGGCCTTTCTCCAGTATGTACTCTCCTGTGTTTAATGAGACTAGAAGTATAAGCGAAAGATTTCCCACATTCGCTACACTCATAAGGCTTTTTTCCAGTGTGAATTCTCTGATGTGTAATGAGGCTAGATCTTTTGCTAAAGGATTTCCCACATTGCCCACACTCATAAGGTCTGTCTCCAGTGTGAACTCGCTGATGCTGAATGAGGTTGGACCTTAGGCTGAAAGATTTTCCACATTTACTACACCCATAAGGCCTTTCTCTAGTGTGAATTCTCCGATGTTGCAAGAGTGAAGAGCTTCGATGAAATGATTTTCCACATCCACTGCACTCATAAGGCTTTTCTCCAGTATGAAATCTCAGATGAACACCGAGTGCAGCATTTTGGCGAAATAATTTCCCACATTCACTGCATTCATAACGCCTTTCTCCAGGGTGAACACACCTGTGTTTAATGAGACTAGAGGTTTGAGCAAAGGATTTCCCACATCGACTATACTCATAATGTCTTTCTCCAGTGTGTATTCTTCCGTGTTCAGTCAGATGGTACTTGGTGTTAAATAATTTCCCACACTCCCCGGGCTCACAAGGCGGATCTCTGCCATGAATTCTCTGGTCTTTGTATACGTGTATACAACTGTTCTGCTTCGAGGGTGCTGCCTCATCTTCCCCTCCCTTCGAACAACCTAAAAGCAAGGAAATACTGGTGAAGTGCATGTTGATTTCTTGAGAGTGCGCAGCCCATCCACAAGTAAATCTGACAAACCAAAAACTAGTCTCTGGAATTTGCAAGCACAGGGAATTGGGTTCAGGTTGAGTGTGGGGCTGTTCAGCAGTTATCACAGAATGTAGGCGGCGGCCTCATGGTGTGAAGGGCACGACCATACTATGCAACAGAGTAAAGGCAGGGTTTGTAACTCCTTCCTCTGCAAACAACTTGTCTGCAGGACCTTATCTGTTGAGGACACATGAGTACTATTTAGAAGAATATGTCCACACCTAAGAAAATATGACTACAACACAGCAGTCTTTTGTCAGGGACTATTTAAGAATGAGTACAAGCTTCCTAATACAAAATGTATGAGCCAATATTGAAGACCACTGCAGATGCAGCAGTGAGAACAACAGGTGAGATGTGCAGTTTAGAGATGTGAAGATTAGTCCTCGGCTGGATATAACAGCAGAAGTGACAAGGTGTAGGAACAACAAATTGGCAAACTCTCAAGAATGGGGAAGACAGAATAAATATGTGGCTACCTGTACGAGCTGCAAAATACTAATCAAACAGAAAAGCTTTGTGGCATGATTTGAACAAAAGCTCTGACATCATGCCCTTATTTACACGTCACTCCTGAGAACCAGGCTGCCTCTAAGCACACCTTGCTGAGGCTGGATTCCTTTGCATCTTAAAGACAACCAAGGGCTCTCCATCTCGTCACCACCATCAACACATACATAGGACCCAAATGATGTAAGTAGTAAGAGAAAGACAGGACAGATGAAAATCCAACACTGGCTCAGAAAAATCTAGCAATTGATATCCCACAGAAAGGACACTAAATACTGTAAGAAATTCTTTCTTTCTTTCTTTCTTTCTTTAGACAGGTGCCCACTCTGTCGCCTGGGATAGAGTGCAGTGACATCAACATAGCTCACTGCAACCTCAAACTCCCAGGCTGAAACAATCCTCCTCTCTCAGCCTCCAAAACCACTTGGACTACAGGTGTGCAGTTCACTATGCCTGGCTAATTTTTCTATTTTTTGTAGAGACAGGGTCTCGCTCTTGCTCAGGCTGGTCTTGATCGAACTCCTGACCTGAAGGTATCCTCCTGCCTCAGCCTCCCAAAGAGCTAGAATTACGGGTGTGAGTCACCACACCTGGCCCTATATATTTATTTATTTTTAGAGATGAGATCTCACTATGTTGCCTGGGCTGGCCTAGAACCCTTGGGCTCAAGGAAACCTCCCACATCAGCCTCTGAGTAGCTGAAACTACAGGCACATGCCACTGCACCCAGAAAAATACTACAAAAAGAATTTTGAAGGAAGGTGTTGCAAAGACAGGCTGTGGTCCATGTAAGTAGTGACCATGTCCACGACAGGAATTCCTAGCACAGGCAGACACGAACAAATGTAGATAAAGGAGGGAACGAGAATCTGGGACAGACAGGAGGCTTTGATCTGCAGTCACCCAGACATCCAGAAGGCAAGCAACATGGGATGTATTAGGGTAACTGTAAGACCCTGACCCTGAATCCTTCCCTGGGAGTCTGCAGGAAAGTGAGTTTTGGAGCTGCTCTAGGAGAGGAAACGGAACAACACACACCCAGTCCTAACAACTATAGAACATAACTAGAGAAGTGAAGAAAGAAGTTGTGTCCATACTCCTGAAGTGAGAAATTCTTGCCAACGAGGAAAAAGGGGAAGGGCAGAGACTAGGTCAGGTGACAGGGATAAGTGTAAGGGCCTTACCCAGGGACGTTATAAGTGTCAAGTTCTCCAGCATCACGTCACGATACAGGCATCTCTGAGCCTCATTAAGAAGACTCCATTCCTCCCAGGAAAAGTTCACAGACACGTCTTCAAAGGTCACACTGCTCTGTTACGATGGGGACAGATGAAACCACAAACAGCCCCTGCTTAGGACCCACAATCCATTTCCCCCACATACCTACCCTTCCCCAACCTCCTCCCAGAGTACCCAACTTAGAGGAGAAACTTTCCCATTGCTGACACTCTGTCCTCGGGGGCCCACTGATCATAGTGTACGACCATCAGCGACAAGAGGCAGGTGCACAAACAGGTATCTAACCTGTAGCCCTGACATAAAGAGATCCACACTCTCTTTACCAGCAATTCCCATGGCACAGAGAAAGTCACATCATCCCAATGGAGTGCCTTAGGGCCATCAGACATACTCCCTCTCTACATGCATGTCCCAGCCATCTTTGGACACCACAGACACATGTCGATGGCCATTCCTAACTAACTAACCCCCCTAATTAGCCTCTGTGTGGCATCCCCCACTTTTCCTTCTACTGATAAGGGTAGTATTCTCACCCTGGGTTACAGTGATGGCAAAAAACATGACTCCTGACATTGGAAAGATATCATCAACATCAGCTCATTAATCAAATATACTGACAGCCTGAGAGACACAGGACAGCACTCACCACACAGGAGTATATGGAGGCTGCACTATGGATATCAGTGAGCAACCAGGGAGTGATGGATGCAAGCTGTGTAGGATAAAGAGAGTGTGATGGTCCCTGATTCCTTTGGGAGGATGCAATTGGCTTGCTTGAAAAACTGCGGGTAGGAATGAAATTGAAACCCACTACAAACGAATAATAATCAGAAAGTCTGCCTGGACCCCTTGATAAAAGGTGTGTTGGACTAGGATACCTTAACCAAGAGAACAGAGTGGGAAGGGGATTTGCAATCAGACCATTTCAGGTCACGCCAACATCATCAGATGTCAATGTGGCACATCATGTTGCACCTTCATTTCTGGCCTTACACCACAATGTGTCTGACATCACCTACAGTATGCTTGGCAAATTCAAACAGAATCCAAAATTGCCACAGAATTCCAAAGGTTCCCAGTACCAGTGGCAGCCCCAAATCATTCTATGAAGGCCTCGGTGCATGAATCCATAGCCACACAGAACCGCATGAGGTTTCAGATATCCACAGCCCCATCCCGTTTCTGTGCTGCATTTCCTATTCCCTCAGAAATTATGACTTTCCAATGTCCAAGTGATACCATTCAAAGCCCAGACCCATTGGTCACACACCCCAGGCTGATGGATTGTCACAGATAACCATATATGTCTTTGACCTAAGCCACTGGGGTGAATAAAACACCTCAGACCCCCCTGAAGTTGTCACAGAATCTTGGTAAATCCACAAAGTGGTGAAAAAGCACCAGCTCCAATCTAAGTGTCACCTTCCTTCAATTACTTCTATGCTTCTGCATCCCTCTCATATCTATTCTCTCCCTAAAATCCTATGTCCCCTGCCAAACTATGCTGTCTGACGTATCTTTCTTTTAAGGCCACTTACATCCCTCACCTGTGTCTCTGGAGCTCAATACCATCACCCAGGAACCCAAGCAAGAGCCCCAACTTCTCCTTGTTGTTCCCCTAATAGCCTGACTACTATAATCTAAAGACTGACCCTCCTAAATGCGACCCATGGCTCACTAACCTTGGTCCACACAATAGCTACCATATACTGGATGTCTCCATTATCAACCCTTCCCCAGATATCCCAGCTATGTGTCCAGATGCCTATTAGATACTTCGACTTAGGGGCTTCTAAAACATCTCACATTCTTTTTTTTTGAGACAGAGTCTCACTGTGTTGCCCAGGCTAGAGTGCCGTGGTGTCATCCTTGCTCACAGCAACCTCAAACCCCTGGGCTCAAGAGATCCTCATGCCTCAGCCTCCTGAGTAGCTGGGACTACAGGCATACACAACCATGCCTGGCTAATTTTTTCTATATATATTTTTAGTTGTCCAATTAAATTCTTTCAATTTTTAGTAGAGACGGTATCTCGCTCTTGCTCAGGGTGGTTTCGAACTCCTGAGCTCAAACAATCCACCCACCTCGGCCCCCCGGAGAGCTAGGATTACAGGCATGAGCCACCGCGCCCAGCCAACATCTCACATTCTTAGGAAGGAAGCTATGATATTATGAAACATATATTTGGTCTTTGTCCCCTTTTGTGGCATGCAACTAAAATCCCTGAAATCTCATAACCGATGTCTTCGTGTATGCTAATGACTCGCTGGTGGCTGGCAGTCCCTGGTGTAAATTCAGGATGAGGGCTGGTCTTGGAAAAGACTAAGGTAGGATCAGACGTCTGGGAAGCTCATCCTAACACCCAAATCTCAAGAAAGGGAAATGGAGATCACGCTTATCAGCAATGGTGAATGATTAATCAATCATGCCTATATAGTGAAGCTTCCAGAAAAAACCCAAAAGGACAGAGTTCAGGGAGCTTCCAGGAGAGTGGTACAACCAGGTGGGGTATGGAAGCTCTGTGCCCCTTCCCCCTATGCCTTGCACTATGCAGCTCTTCTTCTTTATCATTTCTAATATCCCTTATAATAAACCAGTAAACATAAGTGACTTCCTAAGTTCTGTGACTGGCTCCAGCAAATTAATGGAACTTAAGGAAGGGGTCATTGGAAATAGATCTATAGCAGATCAATCAGAAGCACAGGCAAAACGTCCTGGAGCTTGTCATTGGTACCAGACGTTGGGGGGCAGTCTCGTGGGACTGAGCCCTCAACCTGTAGATCAAGCTGGAGTCGAATTGAAGGATGCCCACCTGGTGTCCTCTGTAGAACTAATTGGTGTGTGGGGAAGACCCTCCACACACATCTATCTGGTCACAGAATTATTCTGTGTTGGCTGTTCTGGGAGGAGAGCAGAGGAAAAACAGTTTGGAGTTTTTCTACTAACAATGGCCAGAACAAACCTCCTGATATCCTCAGTGAATATTTATAGCTAACAGCAACTTGCTCATCACAGTTGATGCAGCTTCCAATGCTACAGCTGCTAAGACCAAAAACCCTGGGGTCATTCTTCTTTCCCTTTCTTTTTTTTTTAAGGGGACTGGAGGGGAGGGAAGGGACGCTGGCGAACTGCTGGGGTCATTTCTAAATCCTCTCTTTT